CCAAAACGCAGGGGGTGAACTGGGTGAACTGGGTGAACTGGGCACCAAGACCCCCCCCTCAAGCGGACACTGGGACCCCCATAAAGCTGCCAGGACCCCACCCACACGCTCTGAGCCCCCCCCACCCCAACCACCCCCCAAAATCCCAGTGCAGCGGTTTTGGGGTGAACCGGGACCCCCCAAGTGAACCGGGACCCCCGAAACGCCCCCCTGTGCCATCGCCACGTGCGGGGCGCCCCCATCCTCCTGTCCCCTCCCCGACCCCCCCAGTCGCTCCCAGTCGCTCCCAGTCGCTCCCAGTCCCCCCCATCCCCGCGGGGTGCCGGGGGCGCGGGCGCTTCCCGCTGTACCGGATCCCACCGGAATTCCCGGCTGGGCCGGGGCAGCGGGACGGGACGGGCCGGGGGTGGCCCGGGGGGCAGGGAGAGGCCGTGACCGCCCCCGTGGCTCGGTGCCCGGTGCCCGCCCGGTACTCCTCCCGGTGCTCCCGGTACTCCCGGTACTCCTCCCGGTGCTCCCGTACCTGCGCGGCCGGGACCGGGGGGCAGCAGCAGCCCCGGCGCAATTCCATGTCCAGCGCTGACCCCCGCGCCACCTCGTCCCGACGGAACATGGCCGGGGGTCCCGGTGGTCCCGGTGGTCCCGGTGGTCCTGGTGGTCCCGGTGGTCCCGGTGGTCCCGGCGGTCCTAAGGTCCCGGGTGTCCCGGTGGTCCTAAGGTCCCGGTGGTCCCGGGGGTCCCGGTGGTCCTAAGGTCCCGGTGGTCCTGGGGGTCCCGGTGGTCCCGGGAGTCCCGGTGGTCCCGGAGGTCCCGGTGGTCCCGGAGGTCCCGGGGGTCCCGGAGGTCCTGGGGGTCCCGGTGCTCCCGGGGGTCTTGGGGGATTCCGGGGTCCGGACTCTCCCGAGGGGTCCCGGGGGGGTCCCGGAGTCTCGGCGCGCTGGAGATTTGTGGGGGTCCCGGTTTTCCCGGTGTCCCGGACTTCCCGGGAGTTCCCGAGGTCGCGGCAATCCCGGGATTCCGGAGCTCCCGGTGCTCCGGGAGTGGGTGACAAGGGACTCCCGGTGTCCCGAGCGTTTCCCCGGAGCTCTCCCGGTGCGGGACACCGGGATGGACGCACGGGGTGGGGGGACACACCGGGGGCGGCTCCTCCCGGTGCCGCGCAGCTCCGGGCTGCGGCGGCGCTCGGTGCCGGCGGCTCCTGGCACGGGTGGCACAATGGCCCGGGGGACACCGGGGGGGGGTCAGCGTGACATCTGCGAGCGTGTCACATCCCCGCGGGGCTGCCCCACGCGTGTCCCCGCGGGGAATCCCCCAAATCCCGCAGCGGGGAGGTGGCAAAGCCCCCCGGGGATGTCGCGGTGCCACCCGCGGGGG